GTACCTACATGAAATTTTAAAATGGGTGAAATTTATTTGATTAGTAGCATCAACGATTAGGTTACTCAATAGTCTTATTTGTATGAACTGGCTAAGTGTGATAATATATATTTATATATATTTACATGTAACCTGGGGATGTTTTTTTTTATCATCTACCCCATAGAGTGGGATATCGTTGAATATGTATTTTAAAATTACTTAGGGGTTACCTAAGACTATTTTTCGATTTAGGGATCCGTTTGCGAAATATTAAACTTTAAAGTGCTAATTTTTGTTTGAGTAGACCCCCATCCCCACCTCTCTAAAAGTTAAAACTATTGGCTTGAAAACCTGGAAAAAGTTCCTTAATTGAATGGCGAATAATCCTTCAGCGTTTTATGCTTATATATTGTATGGTAGCGTGTATGGGGCTTAACGGGGAGTTTCATTTCTAAAATTGATTCATAATGAATTTAATATTAAAGAAAAAAAAGGGCTATAGTGTTTTGACTTAGCCTAAGTCTTGATTAGACCAGATTAGATTTCCTCTGTGATGGCGTCTTCGAAATTGAGCCAATGTCCAGGATATGTGTCCAAAATAACTTGTCTCGTTACGCCACTGAGGAGACCTTACAAGGTTCAAACTTAAATGTTAATAATAACTAATACGAAGTGTGTTGCTATTTGCGTATATTAGGGTGGTCCTTATTTTGGGTAAGTCGGAATTTCAAACCTCTCACCCCTTGCATATCTCCCATTTGCCAAAAAAAAAATGTGTGCAAAGTTTAAGCCCAATCGGACAACGTTTACCCGTGGCCCAAGAGGGTCAAAGTTTAATATTGTAGCCAAATGGTAAAAACCATTGGTAAAAACCACCAAAATGGTTTTTTGGTTTCATTATCGCCTTTGATTTTGTTTCATTAATATTTCTGAACGAAACTCGTGAATACTTGCGACTGTGATATCGATAAGAAACGAAAAGCGTATACGAAACGGATCCTCAGAAATTTCGCGATGTAATGTTAGCATTTCAGGTGCGCAGAAATAAAAAGGATGATGAATAAAATTGATGGTTAACAATCGTGTTTTTGAATATGAAATTATTATTCTGTTTTAGATATAAATCATGTATTCTGTTATACATTCTGTCGCTGTTCGATTCTAGTCGCATTGACGTAGATAATTAATTAAATGAAAATAATTGAATATAAATACAAAGGAAACTCGTGGCAGACTCGACCAACTTCATGGTGTTAATTTTTTGTGTTACAGATGCGCGCGCATCTTAAAATTTCACTCTCATAATTTTTTTATAACGCGCCTAAAGAAGTATAACTTCAAAAAAAAATTAGTTTTTGGTTGAACTCAGCGTCTATACATCCATTATTTATTAATGTAGTTAGAAACGCTGTGGATTATAGCGCATTGCAATTTTTCGTCGCAGCTCTACACGAAAACGAGCCCAAAAATTAGTTTTTACATATTGGCACGAATATTGAACTTTGACCCTCTTGGGCCATGGGTAAACGTTGTCCGATTGGGCTTAAACTTTGCACACATTTTTTTTTTGGCAAATGGGAGATATGCAAGGGGTGAGAGGTTTGAAATTCCGACTTACCCAAAATAAGGACCACCCTAGCGTATATATATCACCGTTAAATAGTAAATAATCTATCTCGAGATTGTAAACTGTCGAAAGATTGCGAACCGCAACAGACTGATTACAGTTTAACGCAATATTTTTCTGTAGATAATAAAGTATCAAAGTGAAATTGTTAAATCACAATCTGTCGCGCGTTATAAACCCATCTTTTTTGTGTCTCATTAAAAATAATAATTTAGCTACATCCCACATGTCATCAAAGTCAACAATGTTCGAGCCGAGGTTGTCCGTTGGTACTATTATAAATCAGTAATTTTACTTTTTATTGTCGCATAGTTTCACGCTCCCCTGACTTCTCTTTGATAAACATTGTATCTTGGAGTGTCCAGATGACGAAATAATAAGTGACAGGTATTTGGAGTTTCACCAACTGGACACACGTGTGCAGTCTCTAGTGTCCAGTTGCTGAATAACCGGTACAATCAGGCGATTCCATTTGAGACATATAGCTAAAGATCGATTGCATAACGTCAGAATGTTTTTGGAATAGTTTTAAATTTTACAAACAAGCGCCTTTATGAGGGGAGGCGGGCAATGTTTTTTATATACAAATTTTCTCGATGGATTCCTCATTGATTATTATCACTTGTATTCTAGTGTGGAGATTAAATAAGCATTTATAAGCATAAATACCTATTTCCCAAATATCTCTCAGCTCGCGTCCGCTCTTATTGCGAAGAAATAAGAGCTATATTCTTGGTGTACTTTAGTATATTCCTACCGTGGTAGTCTCAGTTGGGCAAATTTTATTATTAATCGTCATATGATACAAATAATTAATAATAATTAGTAGCATAGTGGTCAATGCATTCGCCCGGATAGCGAAGGGATCGAGTCCCGTCTGCTGCCTGGCCAGGGTGGATTTTTTCTAGTAAAAAATTTCATTAGATTTAAACATCTAGCAGTTAAATACTTAAAAAGTAAAATTATAATTACATAATTGAAACGAAGAAGAAACTTGATTAACTTCCACTATCGCAGGCTAAACGCGCTTAACGTGGAGAGTCACCAGGATCCAATGACACTCGTTTCGGCAGGCGAGGAAGCACTATTTGGTTTTTAGTGGATTGGGGAGATCCCGATCAGCCGCCGAGCCAGTCCTATAGGCTGGATGTGCGGGTGGGCGGGATTTGGGGAGAGGAGTCCCACATTACCCCGTCTCTCACCCAGAAGCAGGGTATGCGTCACGTATTTTCGCAGCATTAAAAAAAAGGCTAAACGCGCTAACCACTGAACTCCGCATTGATATAATAAAAAGTTTAATGTTATTATTTTAATTGCGAGTAACGATTAACTTTTATTAATTCAAGTAATTTAATTGCAAAGGTCAACTTAAAGTTTAGTTGCGATTTGCTTTAATCCTGAAAGTAATGAGTTGATTGAAAAATTTTATTGATTAACGCCAAACACTGGGTGGTCTATGTTAACTCTTAAGGTATTTAACAACATTGATTTTCTAAAATTTTCTTTGTAAATTTGTGTTTCATAAGATATTTTAAAGTGTTAATATGTAGTAAAATCGGCAGCATCGCACAGACGAGTAAAACTGTAACAGTAGGAAGACTCAACTACACAGCAGAAACATTACATTGCACAATTGCACATCTTAATCATAATTATCATTAAATTACACACCTACAATGTTAATTTTTGTGATAATAGACATAAGACTTCTCTATCAAGTTGTTTTAGAATGCATGATCATTTGGGCTTGTGTACACTGTGATATTTAACATTTTTATACTCGCGTATTGTATTCCATGGACGGAATTATAGCTAGTATGCATTGCGATTATTCATACGATTTTTGTCAGTTGAAAGTAATACGAGATAAATACTGTTGTTTTTTACTTTTTGTTGATTATTTTAACGACAGTGGTGTATATATATTTTTTAAATTTAGTATTTTATAGAATTGAGAGGCTCAAAACGCGCGGTGAAATATCGCAATGCAAACAGGCTCTTAGTCAATTAAAAACAAATAAACAGAGCTAGTTGTCTTGTTTTCTTAAATACTTAGGATCAAACTATAACAATATAATGAACTCTATGTGACTAATATTAGATTAAATAATACGTGTTCTCTTAAAGTAGTCCTAGAAGACAAACCTTGGTGTGGTCTGTTATATGCAATAAATCAATTAAGCCGTATTTTGCTAATTATTCATTTAGCTTCAAGCGGAAGCCGTGTCCCAAGTAAAATGAAACACGTATCTTTTGTTTGAATTAAGATTGTGTTGTGGTTTGTGGAAACTCTTACTAAAACGTCAAATTAGTTTAATGCTTCAATGACAACACGAGGTTGTCTTATTCTATTGTTATCGCAAAAAAGTGACAACATCAACTTTAGGAAAATTTTAAAGTTTATTGGCTTCTCTGAGTATAGCTGTCAATAACGTAATTCCTAACGCAAACTTTATGGTTGTGATTAATCTGTGGTTTCACAGAACACAGAAAGAGGTTAGAAGAGTGAGCATAAATCGTTTGTACGGGAACCGATGTCGCCGGCTCGCCTCCCCTACACTTCCATCCAAGAGCAACGGCGCAATTAGATCCAAGTTTTGGTCAAGTTTGCTCACACGTAACTGTGACGCGCCTACTCCGCCCACAACGAACTCCTAACCTCTTTCTGTGTGTGGTTTAAACCATTTTGTTTGAGGTAGGAAATTCTAATGGGGAAGATTCTTTTTTATATTATAAGACATATAGTACATTTTCTTTATCCCCTATCTCGATCAGGGTAGGCAAAAGGCAACAATAATATATTCGAATATAACTCTTATACCTACGTAGTGAAGGCGCTGTCATATTGTTTCTGTCATGGTAACATCTTAAAATTGAAGATTTCCGATATGTGAGACTATTTGTGCACTAAAGCTAGACCAATGAATAAATCAGTGTTTGACGAAAAAACCAACCGACTTTAACAACAAATAAGTTCCTTCTTTATATATAATTAATATATAAAAGCTTTTATTTAATGAATTTTGTTATTTACTATGGCAATGTTTATCCGTAACACTTAAGTTGGCTGCAATGCAAAGAATGATTATGTCATTTAAATGTCAATGTTGGTATAAGATTTTTTTTTCACTTCCGTTCTACTCTTCTAGTTCTAACCTTTCACGTTGTATTATCCAAATGAAAAAAATTGTGCTTATCACAAAAGTGCTGTTTTTTTAATTTCAAAACATTAGATTTGTAGGGTACAAGGCGTATGTTGAAGTATCAACAAACATTGACGTTTAAATGATACAATCAGTTTTAGTTGGCTGTGTAAAAAATATCCATTTCATGAAATAGTCAATTCTATACTGTGTCCGAATCAAGTATTAAGATGATGTCTGTGATTTACCTTTAGGTGGTCCAAAGAGCACGACATCCATGGCCTTCAAGGCCAACTTCTGTTTGTGAATGGGGTCCTTGATGCCAAGGACGTTGTTGAGGTACTGCATGTTGTTGACTGCTAGCCTGAACAAATGAAAGTTAATTTTTAAAATGTATATTTTACTGGTAACACGAAATTAGTTGGAACTAGCTGTGCCCCGCGGTGTTACCCGCGGTTTATTAGGAATATTTTCCGCAGTAAAACGTAGCCTATGTGTTATTCCAGTGTGTCAGTTAACTCCATACCAAATTTTATTAAAATCGCTCGAGCCGTTTATTTATTTATTTAATCTTTAATGCCTTTACATTGAATATGGCGGGCTTAATGCCAGCATGGCATGGCATTTAGACTTGAAAAAGTAACAAACATACACACTCACACACTCGCAAACCTTCGCCTTTATAATATAAGTATGATAAATTATCATTATCATTGATAATGTTAAACACAGCCCGGTGGTATTATCGCACCCAAAGTAGATATTAAGCCTATCCGTATTAACATAAAACGTAAATTAGAGAAATAAAACAAGTTTCGACGGTTAGATGCACTGATTTTATTTATTTATGGACGATTCGCATCCTTTGCAGGAATTCGTCGTCAGAATAATGATTTTTAATTTACTTGTTTTATTTAATGAGTGATGTGAGTGAAATCTTATACGAGGAGCTCGATGGCGCGGGTGGTTAGCGCGTTCGGCTGCGATCGTTGAAGTTAAGCAACTTTCGCAGTGGTCAGTCGTTGGATGGGTGACCAAAAATCTTCTATCTCGAGTTCCTCCGTGCTTCCTAAGGCACGTTAAAGCGTTGGTCCCGGCTGCATCTACAGTCGTTAGCACCCGCTAATCCGCACTGGGCCCGCGTCATGGCCCAATCTCCCTATTCCATCCATAGGGAAGGCATGTGCCCCAGCAGTGGGGACTTAATAGGCTGATGATGAAAAAAATGAAAAATGAATGATGTGCGTGAAAACCTAAGAAACAAATATATAGTAAATTTGAGAATTGATCAGGCCGATGCGATATGCTTGTCTTTGTCCAACAACGCATCGATAAGAAAGGTAAGGATATTATATTTAATACAAAGAATTGACGACCTACCGAGTAGTTTATACGCCGGGTTTGAAGTTGTCGCCTATTCTAGAGGTCTCTGGTTCCAGTCCCGGTGGGGCAGATGTTTGTGTGATGAATACGAGCATTTGTACTTCACTCATGGATGTTTAATATGTATTTCTTTAAAAATCTATATATATAATAAAATGGAAGGAAAGTCAAAACTGTACATTGTATATTTTTTAAAAGAATGCTTGGGGTGTGATCTAAAAATAGTTTTTAGAATTTTTGTCTGTATGTCTGTCCGGGATAAACTCAAAAAGTACTGCATGGATTTACTTCAAAGGGGTTTGGGTAAAAGTGGCTTGATTTTCAAAGTCCACGAATGTTTTTTTTTTATTGAATAGAACTAAAAATAAAATATTAAGGCCATATATCTCCAAAGTACATCAAAGCCAAGATATGATTTTTTTAAAAATAGAATTATCGAAAATTCGTATTATTGAATCTTATGTACTTTTTTGTATAAACTGTAGTCTAAAACATACCATTTAAGTTAACAACGGTTTACAGTTAAACAGACCCTTTTTTGTCTGGTCTGATCGCCTCAGCCAATCACAATAGTCTTTCAATATTCCACGCGGGTCTCGTGTATGTGAAGATCATATCAAGTCTATATAAATGTCCGTGTAGCACGGCACAATGCGCAGTGCCGGACAGCTAGGGATCCCTGCGGGCAGGGTCATGGGACGGGCGCAACCAGGGTGTGCACTTGTCCTCTCCGGCCAGCTCTTCTTCTGCGGAAAGAAGTGGCCAGGGGATCATCCTCCCGCCCCCTCTCGGCTGCCTCCTTCTACGAGATGATGTTCTCGCAGAAGAAGGCATCCGCCTCCCATACCGTCTCGCTACGGAGCGTGCCCTCTAGCATGTTCCGCAGCGAGAGAGTTCCGCCTCCCAGCGCCGCGATCAGGTCGCGGCACTGCTGTCGTTAGGCCAAGCACTCCAACAAGGTGTGCTCGGCCGTACCGTCCGGGGCGCCGCAGTGATGGTACTGCGACGTTTCTTACCGGCGGGCGATACGGTACAGGTAGTGACGGAAGCATCCGTGTCCGGTCAGTACTTGCACCATGCGGAACGAGAGATCGCTGCTCCGGCGACCCACCGACTCCTTCAACACCGGACGAACGGCCTCAATCATCCGGTGCCCGGCGCTTACTTGGGCTAGTGCCTCATCCCATCGCCGCAGCTCTGCTTGGCAGGTCTTTCACCCCGCTCCCTGGCTTCGACCCGACCTCGATGCACGTCTGCCAGGACCTGCGCATCGAGATCACACGACGTTACACCCGCGAAGACGCAGGCGGCGCCGTGGCTGACCGTGCGGTATACTCGCACGGCCCGGGTCGCGATGGTCCTCCGTGCGGTCGTCGCAGCAGGGCCACCGTGCGCGGTTTTGAGGCTCTATGCCCAAACCGGGGCTGCATAAAGTGCCATCGACCGTATCACCCAGTGATACAGTCGACGGCATGCATCACCTAGTCCCCCCACGTTTGGGAGTGCGGCTGCGGCGGCGCACAGCTCACGCACGCTTGAAGTGCTCCTCGAAACTCCATCGGGCATCCAGTACCAGGCAGGCGAGGAACTTGAGGCTTCCCTCGACCGGTACACGGACCCCTCCACCCGGATATAGAGCCCCGGTTGGGTGCTGCGGCATGGGCCGTGGAACCGCATGGCCTTCGTTTTGTCGAGGGTCACATCCAGGCCCAGAAGGCGGATGCGTTGGTCAAATCTCATCTAATCTTATGTTGGAGAGAGGGGTTCTCTCCAACATAACATAAGATGAGATTGGATTTGACCCCCTCCTTAAACATCTCAAGTAATTTATGGACGGCCCCTTACATATTTTCAAATAGCTTTGCGGACCACCGTTTAAGAACCACTGCTCTAAAGGCTATGGAAATCTTTTACTATTTGGCTGACCTAAGCTTTTATGCCATATTTATTAAAAAAAAACTCAATATTTTACCTTGGTAGTGTAGCGCCAGTGACTTTGTGTTGCAAGAAGAGTGTCTTGTACTGGGGTAAGTCCACAGATTGGGCGAGCCAGTCCACAGTCTGCTCCACAGTCCAGTTGTGCACCTGTCATCATAAATAAATATTTCTTACAATCAGACCAATTGCCTTAGCTCCAAAGTAAGTACTGTTAGGCTTGTGATATGGGATACTAAGTAACGGATAGAAAAATATATAATGATACAAATTCTTGAAATATAGATGCCGTAGAATGATTTGATAAATCGAATTTTCACGAAAATCCTAGGGATTTTGCGAAAACGCGGATAACTAGACAATGGCGGCGCTGACGTTCGACGAAATTATCCTACGTTATAATGCATTTGTATGAAATACATATAAACCAATCGTGCATCCGCAGCCGGTTAATTGCAGCAGCTGCGAGTATCGGAATAGCAAATTAAGTTTGAAACGCACTATATATCAAAATATTAATAGGAAGGGTTAAATGTTTACCTCTGACCGGAGCCACGCCTCCCACAGCTCTTTGACGGATATGTGCATGTCGTCGTTGTGGTGGAAGGCCCTCTGACGCTTCTCGTATCCGCTGTCGTATTGCAACTCCTCCCGCAGGAACTGGGGACGAATGGAGATAGCCACTTTATAACATACGCAGTAGAGTTCATTATTGAAAGTAAAGTATGAATGCAATAGTGTATTTGTTAAATGTGTGGATATGACAAGGTAAGGATGGCCGGTGTTGCAGGTAACACTGCTGTTCCAGCTCTCTTCGTGTCTGGTCTCTCCGTTACATAGAATAAGAACCTGAGGGGGCAATCGCCTATCGATATTCTATTGCTTTGGCTATCGCTATCGATTACGATTTCATTTTGCTATTTCTGACCGTCGAAGGATTCTAAATGATTTGCGCTCGTTTCTTTCTTTTGCAATGGTAATAACTATATTAAAGAAAATGAGCGTGAAGTATTTGAAAACCTTCGGTAGTCAGAAATAACAAAATGAGATCGAAAGCGATCGCGTTAGCCATAGCAATCACGTTAGGCATTTAACCCCCTGAAGAAGGTTTATAGACTACTTTTTCTCGCGGCAATATACTTTGAAGGGGTGAAAGGGGATAACATTGTATGGAATACTAATTTTTCCATGCAGACCAAGTTGAACCGCATCACGTTGGTTATGAACACGCATTATATAGCACAGACCAGATTGATGTAGACGCCGCATGAACATCAAATTGTATGGAAACCGCGTGTCGTATTTTGAGTACCACGAAAACAAATAAAATAAGTGGTGAAAAAGCGTGGCCCTCGGTTACCCATTTCAATTTATGTATATATTTTTTACAGCTCAATATGGCAGTTATATATTTTTTTAACATTAGGATCGACGTCCGGTATCGAGAACGGTGGTGAGAAGAAATAAATTTGCGTAAAAGGAAGATCATTTGTCTCCGCTTTGGCATGACAAGTACATAAACTAGCGTTATCTATTCCGATCTATGTCTGTGTTATATAGTATTGTAGTCTATTATAAATTTCTTATCCAAAGCAGTGGTACCGCCGTCTGAGTGTTTAGTCAGAAAAAACAAATATTATGTTTGATATCTAACGTGTCTCTCTTTATAATAAGTCTAATGAACCGGCAGCCAAGAAATAGGTATTATACCTTGACTGTATGCAAGTAGGTATTAGTAGTTTATGAAACCAAAGGTCATTGCTATTTCGTTTCTTGCCTCTTATTAAGAAACGTGGAATAAAGTGAGGCTTGGTTTTTAACTCAATGCTGAGCGTCTTCTTTTAAGCAAACATAGGAGTTAGGCTGGGCCGCCTGGTAGCGTCAGAACCGCTATGTCCCTGAATTTTAAATCTGTAATATCTTCGAAAATATTCATTGAAATTAAAATGCGTTAAAAGGCCAAATTGGTATACATTAAATGCACAATGTATTTAAGGTACTTATTTGGATAAGGATGAATGTTATATTGCTGAAAGTCGCTTCGTAAATAATCTATTATTTCTCGTAAAAAGTATACGATAAAAAATGGTTATTGTGTATGGGTTATACCTAATAGATAGACATATACCATGGCGGACTTTTTTGTAGACCTTTTTAAAACAATACTATAGTACATTATTTTGATCTATCTCGTAGGGTTCAGCCAGCGTTTGCAATGTAAGCGCAAAAAAATGTGTTTATTTACGACCTTACATAAAAACCTTCTCAATTTATCAGTGTTTCTACTATATTATGCATGTATTATACACATAAACCTTCCTCTTGAATCACTCTATCTATTAAAAAAACCGCATCAAAATCCGTTGCGTAGTTTTAAAGATCTAAGAATGCATAGGGACATAGGGACAGACAGCGGGAAGCGACTTTGCTTTATACTACGTAGTGATTTATGTCAAAAGGATGGCAAACAAGCGTACGGCCCGACTGATGACCGACTGACGTGAGCGGCCACCATAGGCTATAGACCCAATCCTCTACCCTCTCGAGCTCTGGTACCTTACTCACCGACAGAAACACAACACCCCCCATTGGTAGTGTTATTTTACTGTGATCTTCTGTAAGGTGGAGTTTACGTCCCCAGGCGGGCGCTCCAATTTGTGCGGAAAATCCGCTATATACTTCTCTTAACCTTATCAACAATGAAGTATAAAAAAAAACATTGTATTTTTTTACGTACAAATACATACGAAAATAAGTATTGTGGTGGTTAAGTGAATCTGTGGATGTTTTTTTTTCCTTTGCAAGTGGTCCTTGTAGGAAGACAAGGCGCCAGTGTCGTCAACAAACCTCCATAGTGCCCCATACTTTACTGACGGCGGGACCTAGACCGGCGACCCGGGCAGAAATTGTCTCGTTAACAAGCGTCTTTAATATCGTAAAATGCTTGCAAAATCTTAGACCATTAGGACTCAATCATCAAGATGCTATGAAGATTTCGACTCTAGTTAATAAAATCAAACATTATGTCATCGTTAAAAATGCAGAATTGATATAGATACTTTGCAAAGCTTGTAATGTAAATTAACAAGGAATTCGTGTTCCTACCTCGAATTATAAAAGAAAAAAACAGTGTATCTACGTCAACATCACATAGTGAGAAAACGTTATTTATTCCTGCATTTAGCATTCTAACCGAAACGAAAATATACGATCGATTGGGAGAGCAAGTGTGAGAAACCGTCCAAATAACAGATGTTGTCTTGGATTGTACTAGGATCTGCGTTTGTTTAGAAAATAAATTAAGAGCGATACATCCAACGCGTAAATTTGACGTCAGAGTATACGTATCGTGTCGTACCATACAATATAATGTGTTGGCAAGTCGCATCCAACTCGTTGACGAAGAAGTGCAAAAAAACCCGCCAGACTTTGCGGGGCGTGATGTTTGGCATTGGTTAGTTAGCATTTCACATGGAAAATCGTATTTGCCATTTATACACTTGACAGCAGTACATCCTAGTCATGCTCAATAGAAAATAAAAAGGAGATATTGCTGTCATAATTACAAATAGCAGATATGAATAACCATGTGGTGCAAGGCGAAACGATCTGCCCATTGCAATTTAGGGTTAGATTTGGTGCTACCGTGGGATGACGCAGATAGGGAATCATATTAATTATCGTTATTACCTATATTTTATTCACAGAAAGAGGAGCTCTATGACGCAGGTGGTAAGCGCGTTTAGTCAGGGGCGTGTATTAAGATCTGGCGCCCCAGGCCACATAGGGTCAATCTACGATCGTGGAAGTTTTTTAAGGGCTGGTATCGGCTTCTCTGTGCTTTTGAAGACACGTTTAGCCGTTACGGGTCCCGGCTGCGTTTCAGCCCGCAGTCACAATCTATCAATCCGCACCTGGCCCGCGTGATGGATCATCACATCGCATCTGGCCTAACAAAATTCAGTTCACAGTATACAGAATCAAGAGCTATTCTACAAACTCATGTACCGATGACATCATATGGATATATCACCAATCCCCAACGGTTTGCTTTCAAAGAATTAGCAGTATAGTAAAGCTGGTTTTTAATATTCTATTTTGATTTTCTCGATGCTACACGCTATTTATATCAAGTGATGTTTATCACCTTTTTGTTCTAGTAGGTATCTCAATATTGTCTATTGTTTATTTTAATGTATTCTATATTCTATTTAGTCATCTTCTTGCGGGTGTAAGTGAGGTATGCCTTTCAGTGAGATAACAAATCGCATGGTATTACCCAAATGGGTACCATGATTACTTCCGGCTCAACGAAATTAGCGGGGCCCTAAATACCAAACCACATACAGTACTACTGCTCCAGTCACACAACACGCATTCTAAAGACCGGGGTCCCTAAGTGCGTGCCGAGTGCGGGTGTGGTCGTGACGCCCCGTTAAGACTGGCCACTGCTTACGCGCCGGTGAGATATTAATGGAATGGACTAATGTTGACAATAAAACAAATTTGTTTCTTAGGTTTTCACGCACATCACTCATTAAATAAAACTAGTTTTTACGGGTTAATGCACGAAACTTTATTTATTTATTGACGTTTCGTAGCCTTTACAGGCTACGTCGTCAGAATCAAACTTTTATTTAATTTGTCGGGCTACCTTCGAAAGACTTTTATTGAGCGTTGGGTTATTCCATTGTTCGATTTTTTAAGTTTTATTGTCTATGTATGAATTAATTATTTAATTTACTTCATAAAGTATTTTATTTAAAATTCTTTTTTGTAATTTTGAGTTTATTTATTTGACCCTAACTACCGTAAACTACCACCGGTTCCGAAATTGGGAGACCTTTCTGAGAAGAACCGGCGAAACAAACTCAAAGAGGCTTTCTATCTCCTTCTTATGTTAAATTATGCAAACAAAAAGAACTAATAGTATCTGATGGTCTTGCAGTGTGTGCTCGGGGTTGGGATTTTATCTCCTGTATAATAGGTTCCCAAGCTGGTGGTATATACCAACCATCTTCCCTATTGAAATTTGGATATTTTTTAATCTCAATAGCCTCGCGCATCATTCGAGGAACGAACCGCCGCTCAGCTGCAAGGATCTGTGGTTTATCAAATCTAATGTAATGGTTTTTGCATAATTTAACATAAGAAGGAGATAGAAAGCCTCTCTTGAGTTTGTTTAGCCGGTTCTTCTCAGAAAGGTCCCCCAATTTTGGAACCGGTGGTAGTTTACGGTAGTTAGGGTCAAATTAATAAACTCAAAATTACAAAAAAGAATTTTAAATAAAATACTTTATTAAGAATTAAATAATAAATTCATACATAGACAATAAAACTTTAAAAATCGAACAATGAAATAACCGAACGCTCAATAAAAGTCTTTCGAAGGTAGCTCGACAAATTAAATAAAAGTTTGATTCTGACGACGTAGCCTGTAAAGGCTACGAAACGTCAATAAATAAAGTTTCGTGCATTAACCCGTAAAAATTAGTTTTATTTAATAAAACAAATACTTACGTCATCACTCTCACTGAGGTCCACATTGCCGTTGGCGTCATCGTCCAGCTGCCTGTGGAGTTGGGTGATGGCTTCCAGACCAGCCTTGTCTTGAAGGCAAGATGCTTCGTTGTTGCATGCCTCTACCAGTACTGGAAAGATGGGAGAAAAGGAAATGAATTCAATGTGTTGGCTGATTAATTCTACAAAGAAAAAGGTTAGGACACCGCTGATTATACCTTGAACTGGGGATCAGTAAACTTAATTCACCTAAGTGCGTAAACTTACTACTCTGTAGCCTATGTAAGGGCTTGAGAGATGAGAATACTTATTCTCTTTTTTATGTGCAGAGCAGTGTACTTGCAGTAACATATTGATTAACAGCAAATCACCTAAATAAAAATTTCTCCAACAAGATGTCTTGTCCTGCTGGCAGCAAGATTGAGAATCACCAGCGGGTGCATGGCTAGTCTCTTGTAAGATGTCATGTATAATACCTGCACTCCCGGCAGGCACTAGATGGAACTCGGTCCCTCATAGTGCGTGTCGGGTGACCGGTGCAGGCATGATGTTTAAAAGTTATAGATTTATACACGCTTCTAAATTGGCAATACGAAAGTCAGTCAATTGCCCGACTTGCATTCAGTCGGGCACGCTCTCTCGCCGCGACTAGACTTTGCTTCAACGTGTAAATATTTTACGATTTTCCAGAAAAAACTTGTGTTTTTAGATAGTATACAATATCTATCTAGTAACTAACTAATGGGGACAAGAAAAACGTGTTATTTCAGTTAGTAGTAGTATGTTAGCAGTAGTATGTCAGTACAGTTTTAAAGAAAATGTAAAAATATTTAGTGATTACTTATTTAGACAGTGCTGACACCGTTGACACAGAGTCTAGAGAGCGAGATGTAATCTGCTTTATGAATGAGAGTGAAAAAGACTACTTTAGTGCACTCTATTGGCGGCTGTTGCCAAGGGGCGGGGACTACTAATAATAATGCTGGCGTTTAACCTGTCTAGATATTATACGTCATTGGGTGCAGGAGTATTATCTGGTTTTTACTGGGGAAGGACCCTGCACATTTCACCGAGCCTTAGTTGGTTGGATGCAATAAGCGTGGCGGAGTCTTCAGATACCCTGTTCGCGCTACTACCGGTGGTTCAGGGATGCGTAACACCTTTTCCAGATACATAAAAAAGGTAAGTAGGGGGATACACACAACCTTTAGAGAAAGTTAAGCATACCATCTGGTTTGCTGGCTTTATTTAACCTTTATAACGCTCGCATTTAATGATGACAATTGAGTTTAATGCTTGTCATAGTATTATATTGTGTCGATAATGCAAAAAAAATGACAGCTTTAATTACAAACTTAAGAATCAAATGACATCTTTGCGTTTAAGTGCGGCTGTGTGATAAAATCGCTATTTATACATGACATATAAAATTATATGATCGTTTAAAAAATATGGACTCAAGAATCATTTCTAATTTATAAAACGATGTCATAATTTTGTGTCGAGCTGAACATAACATTAGTATTGATCAATGAATATTCTAATGATTTTCAGCGAACTCGCCGCATTTTCCTTAGAAAAACGTTGATAGTTACTAATCACTACCTATTGTAATTGATCTTTATACAAAGAATTCTTAATGAACGGCGATTCCGAAGAAAAGACAAAAACCAAAGCAAGAAGAGTGCGATGAATAAAATCATAAATAGTGGGTAGTTACTTCATAATTCACGGCCGTTTTTTAAAAACAACTACGCTAAGAAATAGTTTTAGTATTCTTTTTCTTATGGTTATCCCACACCTGCGTGACGCAGCTTCGGGTGCTTTTGATACTTAAATGCGTTAAAATTAGCGTTCGAACTTTGAATTCAGTATATAATGCGATTCAAATAAAAATAGGAAAGCCAATGAACTCCATCTGTCAAATGTCGCTTGAAAAGTACGGTTTGTAAAAAAAATTTTGGTGACCTTTTTTAGCATTCTGCTAATTCTAGAATAAAAACCACACATTTGTAAACAAACAATAACAAATATTGATAATTAATATTGGTTGATTTTATTTCATTTATTGAGCTTTGGCTATAAATGGTTGATAGGTTATCAAACCGTCAACCAAATGTCACTTTAAGTTGCGTTCAGAAACACAATTTAAAACTTTCGTTTACCTAAAGGATGCATGTTCGTATGTGACCTAGTAATAGTGTATGATTATTCATAACCACTCCGGCGGTAATGCAGAGATGAGCGGAATTGAAGAGCTAAATCCTGATTTATGTTTTTTCTCAGACAGTCTTAATAAATAAGTATTATTAAAATTAGGTGCTTTTTTTTCTCAATCTTCGTAAATATTTTAATAAAAAAATCTGATGTTTTTTCTCACTTAATCTTAGTTAGAAGTTTTATTAAATAAAATCTTTTTTTTGCTCACTCTATTTGGTTTGGATTGACAGCTATGACGTCAAAATATGGCGCCCAGTCGGTCCTATTCTTAGTTGAATCGCATTATAAGTCACGGCACGCAACTATAGCGCTGACTGTGCAGAAGTAAAAATTACGATGTCTTTGGGGAAACGAGGTGCGCGGGTTACGCCGATTGACTCTCCAGTCGTACCCGCGCAGCTATCCCCTTCGCGTTTTGTTCAGCGCTAGAGTTACGTGCGGTGACCTGTACGCTCTTTTATTTATACATAGACAAATATGTCGATTTTCACGACTCCTTTTAGCGTGTCACGGCAAATTAATCACCAGTCAAGCTATCGTCTAGCGTCTATAGTCATGCAACCCGGTAATTCAATACGACAGAACTTATTTAAACGCCGAACGATAATTTAAGCGCATTTAGTACCAAAATCACAAGAAGCTACGTCCGTGGGAGAAGCATTAGATCACCTTCAGGCTTACAAAAGGTTGCATACTATTTTTGGTAGAAATTAAGATTTACTTACTCATAGTAATTACTGCAAATCATTTGGAATCCGAAAGCACCAATAAGCGAAACACAAAATGGATAAATTGGCACTAACATAAAACCATAGTAAGCTGGTGGAAATCAGATTTTGACAATTGCTCGGAGCACAAATATTTAAAGAAAAGCATTGGTACGATAAATACATAATTGAAAGAAAACAACACAAATGATGACAGTTTTATTGCCGTTTTGTCAGTCGGAAAAAGCTGGTAATAATTTTCCATTGTATGAATTGGAAGCCCGGTATAAATAAAATGTAAATGTAATGAAGTAACTATTTATGTAGAGCCTAGTATCTCACCCGATTTAAATGTGAAAGCAGTCCTAAGCTTCAAAATAGCCATAAATAGGTATGTATGATGTTACTCATAAAGACAGAGCAAAGGTTTAAGTAAAATCAGATGACATTTTATAAATAAGGAGCTAAAAAGGTATTCCTACTTAAAGCATACAGGTATTAAATTTAATGTTGAGAGGTATTCTTACCAGAGAAATACTTCGCTACATGACTACATGTCAAGGCATTACGCAGCTTCGCCAGACGTCTTGTTTTGCCTTTTTCGTCTATATGAAAAGGTGAACAATACTGTCCCCAAGAGGTTGTCTGTGTCTTTTTCCGAACTTAAAAGTTCACTTTAATAAAAAAAGAGAAGCCGATACTATAAATGTTATAAGCAGGTTATGAGAAGTACCAAATCTAGAAGAGCCATGTGAGTTTACCACGAGATTTGAAAGGGAAATGCCCAAAATAGGCTTTGCGTGGACATTGTGCTTGGCAAACAAAAAAATGTACAGTATTATTTTATTTATATTTAACCAATTTCTATAACCATAATATAGTGGAGAGTTTCAATAATAATAGAATAAAATAAATGAAAACAATACGATTACTTCCTTCTATTAGTTATCTAATGTCACATGATCCAAAACGGCTATGATTGGCCGAATTTAAGTATGAAGCACGTCATTTCAGCGAAAACGGCTAGGATTGGCCGGGTCTACGACATTTGCAGACAAGGGCCACGTTCCAAAGCTACGCTCCAGGTGCAACAAGTGTCAAATTCGATAGAAGTTTCATACATTTATTGCAAAATTGAAACGTCTGAGTGAAAAGTTGCTCTTGGACAGACAGAACACTACGTTTTTTCGTTTAGACATTTCGTGTAGTACGCATGTTACGTCGCACGCCATATTGCGCAATATGAATTTTTCACGGCTAAAAATTATTTTGATATAATCATTCAAAGATTTTGGGTAGTTTAAGCTTGTTGCATTGTATAGTTTTACATGTTAAAATGTCTGTCCATGTTAAGCCAAATTCCCATACAAAGTGGGCATTGCCCTTTGCATTGGATACACCGTACACGATATCAGTTACACCACAGTTACGGTTATCCATATCCATGAAAGGTTAACGCTTAAATTAATTAACAAGTTTTTTCATCCATAGAAAACGTTACAGAGCGCGAAGAATCATAAGTCCTTCTAACAGATAAGGTAAATTCGATACATTTTCTTCACTCTCCTTACATATTGATAACCTTATTATTGTCGCATAATAATCATCTAAAGCATCTTGTAAATGTTTTCTTTAAGAAAAACAATTGGCGATTAAACGAACTTATCTGAACGTGAATTTATATTATATCAAAAACAAAATTAATTATATGAGGATTTAGTCCGAAACTTTATTATTACGACTTCAAAGTGATAATCGGAAATGGGAACGATACAACTACATACTACCAGTGTGAATAATACTAATGTCGAGGTCGCATCCCGAAGTTTAATTAAACAGTGTTCCAATAAAAAGCTACACTCGATGATATTCATGAAATGAAATACTGTGAGATATTAATAATCAGGGAGACTGCAACAAGACACAAGTTTATTCAGTGAACGGTCATCGCAAAGATCGGTCTCTACTCACATACATGGCATTAATTGATAGTTTAACTCTAAGGTGAGTAAAAATCAACGTGTGGACCGCAAAAGTCACAACTCGTAGGTTCGCCTAGACATGTGCGCCGATCGGCGTTCTTCGGCGTCATCGGCGTCAATAATATACAAATGATATTGTAGATGAAATTTTGATGGATTGGATCTGATATTTTACAAGAAACAGCAAATGAAACAAAATTTTACAGGCCGGCAAAGTGAGGA